AAGTAGTAGTAGTACTACAAGTAGTAGTACTTTAGCTTTATTTTACTTCATTTTATATATGTTGTATTACATAAAAATGTATAACAATTATATTATATATATATATAAAGCTTACAGCTTTGGCATTTTCGCCGTTTGCCGGAAGTTTAGATTTATCTTTTAACAACTTATCTTAAAAATTAAATAAAAATTATTACTAACTAATTTAATTATACAATATAAGCACAGTGTAGTCAACTATTTTACTTTAAATTAAATAAATAACAAATGATTTAAAATAATGTATTTATATAAAATAAACTATACAATCTCTCTACATAATCAGGCTTAATCTATCTTTTCCTTGACTTTATTTAATATTAAAAACTCACAAATTCGAGCGATTATATATTATATATTCAATTTTAAGCTTCAAAAAAACAAAAAGTAATAATCCTATAATATCACATATTTTTTTTAACACTGAAAAATATGTAAAATGAATTTGTACTTTTACACTTTGATGTACGGAAAAATAATATTAAATATCGTAGTTGAACTACAACAACCATTTCCTGTTTTATCTACAAATTTCCTTTTTCCGTTGCAACGATTTACGTTATTCATATCGGACAATGTCAATTTTCCAAAAGAAAAAAAAATTATATGCAATTGTTGTCAAAATTTTATTTATTGCACTTCAGTTAAAATGATGACCCAAAAAAAGACACTGGCCAGAGACCAATAAATCAAAATGATCGAAAACATGCATGCGGGCACATAAAAGTTGATTCAGCCAAAATAACAATAAACCTATTGAATAAACTTAATTAGAGCCAGATAACAAAGAAATATGAATACAAATGTGCTTAAATTTACTAAAAATTATAATACAAATATATTTTTTATACCTCGTTATATCAGTATAAATAATTCACTATTCATGATTAACAATAAATAAGACTGCAAGTAGTCAATCAAGCTTTTTATATACTTTTAAAAATTTACTTCTCGAGTTTTATTATACTTTAGTATAAAAAAAATTCTTTTATTACGTAGAAATTAATTAAAAATATAATTAAAATATCTGGTTTAAATAGAATATATGCATTTTAATACTATATTAAAACAATAGAAATACGTTTCATACAGGCAAGATATAAATTATAATTTTATGTACACGATTTTGACATACAGCAATCAATTTACAACTTTGTATTTAATATAATTTTTAAGCGATTAGAAATTTAACAATTAAAAAAAAATATAATTAATTAATTAATCAACTATTCCACGGCTGGTTTATGATTTCGTTCTACTATAAACACATCAAGTGAATTTGTTAATAAAGCTTTCATAGCAAAGTAACAAAACTCCAGAAAAATGTGCGAACATAAAAGTTAAGTACGACTTTGGATCAATTGGTTAAGGAGCGCTGACTCTGAGCTTCAAATTTGTACGAGTACGAGTTCGATTCCTGGTACTTGCTGTTTCAAAAAATTATTTACGAATAATTAAATACAAGAATCATTTCTAAGACCGTCATCCAAAAATTCAATTAATTAAAATAATATAAAATGCATTTTTGTTGTTGTAGTTCACTACTGTTCCAAAAACCTCTTTATAGACAATTAGAGTAAAAAAAGTAATAACACTCGATTAGTATCATTGCGAGTCTGAATTTCAGGTATTATATTCCATATATAGTCTGATTTTCAGGTATTATATTCCATATATATATATTCTATATATATGTAGAAGCTAGTAAACAAAATTTTTTTTTAAATGAAGTAGTTTTTACAAATACATATTTGATTTAAAAATAAAATGCAATATTTTCAACGTTTCAACTTATTAAGTGACATTTAAACAGCTCCTTTCGGATAAATATTTTCACTGATCAACTTCAGATACTGTTAAGTCGTTGCATTTTTATGTAGCACAAAAGTAAATAAGAGATGTAGAAAAATTGTCACTGCAAAAAGTTATAGTATAAATAATCCTACTTGCATTTGTAAATGGGTCGTTGCTTTCGCTTTCAGCTTTAAATGTGCGTTTCAGATACTCACGTCTTTAAATATTTGCAGCACGTACAATAACTGCTCTGCGACAAAAATGGTATGTCTGCAACTTCAATTACTTTATACTATACTATATTACATTACTTCTTTCGGTTTGTAGTTTTAGTTTGAAATGTGGTTAGTGTGATTTTTTATATAATTTAAATTGAAGATAAGTTTATCAACATTTTTGTCAGAGCATTTCAGATACTTTTAAAGCAAATTCTTCTTCAAATATCTTTAGCAAATTGCAATAGAACTGCTGCAAGCATTGTGATTGTTCAGATAGGTTTGTGTGGTTGTTCAGATAGCTTTGTGTGATTGTTCAACTTTCCAAATACACGATTTCTAAATAAAAATCTTTGATATATTTTCTTATTGAAATGAATAGTTGTGCAGTTCAGTTACATACTACATAATGAGATTGGTGTTTTAATAGTTATTTACAAGTGTTAATCATTAACACTTGTAAATAACAAGTATTGTGCATTATATAGAAAATAAATTTTTTTCAAACACATTATAAAGTATATTTAGAATAATTTATTTTTGTCGTATAGAGACTGGATTACTTAAGTAAAAATAATTTATAATATATCTAATGATCTCTATTAGTAAAGGATAAAATCTATTGTTGAGAAAAAAAAGTTTTTACTTTCTTGAAATTGGAATATTACTTAAATTATTAAATCAAATTTTAATATCAGTTTAATTTTTATTAATATTAAAAAGAGTTTCGTAAAATTCAATTATTTGTGAAAAATAAAATAAATTAAATTTATTAAGCAACAAATTTTCGTTCAACCAAAAGGAATTTAAACTCAATTAAGTACTTGAAATTGATTTTAATATTTAGTTTCTTTTTTGAATTCAAATGCAATAACTTAATTTATTTTGCTTCTTCAAAAAAATTATAATTCACTTATTCGGTCAATATGGCAAAATGATTTTTCCACATGAACTACAAATTTGTAAAAAAGAATATTTATCGATGTAAATATTTATTTATAGAAAGTAGGTAGAACCCAATTAAATTTTATTTTCATAAGCAATCTTGAATAAAATTGATATTCAAAAATTTGCTTCAGTTAAAAATTGTACTTCTTTCTACTTTTTGCAGAACACAATATTGTGTTTGGGTACACTCAATCGGTAATGTTTTCTGAGGTCGTCACAAAACCAATTTAAATTGGGTATTTTTGTATTTACAATTTTTACAATTTTCCTGTAAATTGCTCTTCCATTATGGGTTTGCTTCCATTAAGAGTTCATATTATATTAAAGTATTTTTAAATCATACTCATGCATGACGAAAATTAAAGTTACTTAGGCATTCTTTTCATATATATATAGCAGTTTTCATATACATAGTAATGTTACAAATTTTAAATTATATTCATGGTTTTTTCTAAAGTATACATATTTTAAGAACATTATATTAATTTATTTTTTTCAATAAGATTTATAATTTATTTTTTTCTATTAGATGATATGTATAATACATCTGATACTTTACTGGACGTATTAGGAGTTAAATGGTACAAACAGGATAATTTGAATTCATTGCTACTAAACAGGAAATTAATTGCACAAGGATCCGTTCGCTAATGCGTTTTTTATTTTTTGATATTACAAACAGTCATATTTTTCAATAAAATTTTAAACAAATCATATTTAAATAACTTTTTAATTACATCAGTTATTGCAGAAAAAAACTTATATCATATATATATTTAAATGATATGTATATGAAAAATTGAAAAATTAGTTTAAAAATTTATAAAATCATATAAATATGCATGCGAAGTATGAGGAACACACTGCGTATGAGTAACTAAATCCATGCCACATCAGGCTGCTAAAATTGAAGGACCTGAATTAAATCTGTAAAAAAGAAAATTTTGTACTTTTTAAAAAATTTCTAATTTTTTTTTGTATAAAAATGAAAATTTTAGAGAAAAGCGCAAGGTGATAACAAGGAAATGGCCAACTTTGCCAATAGAATTACTAATCATTCAGTTTGTATTCTTAGTTCATTGTTTTATGCAACAATTTTGTAATTGTTTTAATTTTCTATTGTTCCTTATAGCTTTTATGTGATTTTGCTATTGTTCTTGCTTCTGGCATTATTCCAAAGATACGAATACTCACTTTTTTCCTTAAATCTGTGGTTTCATTCATTGTTTTATTCACTGCATTTTAATCTCTATGGAATTATAGCCGCTTAAGAACATTTTCGTTTTTTGTCTGTCGGATGAAATTCTACAAAATCTGTAATTTTTTAGGGTTTTTAATTTATAGTGAATTGTAAATGAAATTGTTGCTTGTTTTTTAGGTAGAAAAAAATATATAACACTATGATCAAAGAATAAGATTAAACTTTTTAACTTTAATTTTTTTAAATCTGCCTTATAGTCATCAAAGTATTTTTTTCTCGATATAATATAATCAAACTGGCATATTTTTCAATCCTGGGAAAATTGGCAATTACTGAAATCAATTTCAATATTAACAGCAACTCGTTTAGAACGATTTTTTGACCTAAAACCGTTACTGCGAAGTCACATGGCGCTGAATCAGATCAATAAGATGATTATACATGGTTAAGATGATGATTATGAGATATAAGATTAAAATATTTAAGTAAAGTACCTAAAAGTCAATACAGTTTAATTTCAATAATTACATATGTTTTAAAATTTAATTTAGGTAGACCCATAAGGTATTAAGGTCAACTTTTATTCAGAAAAGTACTTTCTTTTAACATTACTTCAGTAAATATTTGGTGTGATTAAAAAAACAAAGAAATAATGAAAAACAACTTTTTTACTTGGATCTGACAGCCGTCATATCTCCTACCTCCAACACTGATTCTATACTTATATTTTTACACATTTAATCTTTCGAATAAATACGTATATATAGAAAATATTGCTTTAATACATAATTCCTTTTAAACATAGAATTCTGATCGCTTATCGTCCTTTTAGTTCTCAATATAAAGTCGTAGTTCTGCTTTAATTTATATCCTTTTTGTTATACGTGGATACTAGCATCTTCTGCAGCTCTATAGTATGGTTTCAATTAGTGGTTTCGCAAACCTATTGAATACTTACAGATATACAGGTATACTGATATCTATATTTATATCTTGTTGCTTTTATACACATAAGAATACTCGTAAGATGTGGTATAGACTAGCAAATATAGGCAAATATAATCAAATTTATATATACTTTAATTTTGTATTAGATACTACAATTCTGTCTAGTGGAGAATGCAATTTAATTTTATTTCAAAATTTTTAGGTTATATTTAAACAAATTTGATGAAATAAAAAACAAATTTTTGTAAATTAAAATTTATTTTTTACTACCATTGTTATGTTTTCTACTACTTAACATATTCCATTCATTTTTATTCTGATTCACTTGATTTTTTCTTACATTACCTTAAAACTTCACAGCATCATTTCACAGCGGTAGGTTCCATTTCATGCGAGGAGAGCGTTTATTTTGTTTAAGGGAGAGGCAAAGAAGTGTACGTTTTTGGACCTCTCTAATAGTACTCAAGTACATTAAGTTGTCGTACTCACTTAAAGTCTTACATTGAATATCCTTAATGAGAAATTAAGACGCTAATCGTTTATAGTAGCATTGTCGAATAGTAGAACTGCGAAAATAAATGTTGTTGAATATATTATAGCTGAAAATAAATTATATAAAAATTTTTTTTTTAAGTTTGTATGAAAAGGTAAATATAAGCAGTAAATGTTCGAGTTCCTTATAAATATTTCTAATAGCATAAAGTTAAAATTTCAAACTCGTATATGTCAGCTGCAAGGACATTTAAGTCATCACCATAAAGTCTTTAAATTTATGAGAAGTGTGTGCTAGTCATGTCCTCTTATTTATTCTTTTTTGGGTTCATATAGATTTATGGCACTGAGTAGTAAAATGTATCCTATTCCTTTTCAAATTATTCATATGGGAATACTTTTGATAATATGGTTCGTTTGTTTGTTAATGATATAGGAAATGAATTATTTATGATAAATAATTTCATATAAAGTACACTTCTAGATGAGATGGAAAATATTTTTAACTCACAAAAGTTTTAACATTCTAGAATTTTGAATTATTTAAGTATTTTGAAATAAAGTGTTTTTGCAGGCTAATTGGATTGAAATTGGAAAATTTCTATTGCTATAACGATCTGTTCTATTGTAATCTATTTTACAACAATATTTATTTCATCGATATTTCAACTTTAGTTTGAAGTCATCATCTGGTAACTCATGATCAAAGATTCCGTAATATAAATTGTGGTTTCTTTTTCTTAATACTATTTTTTTTTTTAAACAATAAAAATTTGACCAATTAGCCTGCAAAAACATTTTAGTAAAATCGTTTAGTCATAAAATAATAAGTATCTTAAAATATTTTAAATCAAGATTATCCAAACATTAAAGTTATTTTTGTCTTGCTAAAGGTATTTAAATTTTGTGATATTTGCTGAATATAATTTGTAAATCCATCATGTATTAATTTGTGAGTATGTTTTTATTACAATTGAAGAATTTCTTAATCGAATAGATTTGTTTATTAAATAATAAACAGATTTGTTAATAATTAATGCTTCCATTTGCTATTAGAATCTAATCAGTTGACTTCGCAACTTAAAATACAAAATCTTGAAAATTACTTTGTGAGCGAAAGTCAAAAAAAATTGATATCTGGAACAGATTTTTTAATTGATAATATTAAATAAGTTTTATTAACATAAACATTATAATTAATTAATAATAATAAATACATACATTTTGACTGCAACCACAATATAGTTTTTTCAAAGATAGTATTAGTAATTGACATAGACAAATTGAGTAGCAGACGTTGCACTGTAGGGTATGTCAGTCGAGAAATATTTTTGTTTTTTGATTTGACAGTTTATGTATTTTCGAAACCTTTAAAAGTATAACGTCTAATTTCTACAGAATAAACAAGTGAAACTTTATCTTATAAGATATATTATTAGATAAACCTACACTGCAACCCGATAATCTGTTATGTTTATAGTAATGTTTTGAATATTAATTATAAAATTAATTATACAAAAGTATTTACTACAAATAATAGTAATTAAATTTGAAATAACTAATTATTTATAATAGTTAAGTAAATTCATATATAACTATGGTTGGATCTCACAATACAACAGTAAGTATATTAATATTTTTAGAATAAACAAAAAAATTTACAAAACTCGAAAATTAAATTTTGCATATTAAGAAAACATTGGCTTAGTGTATTAACATGCGATGTAAAGTCAGATTCTAAGAAAAAAAAACTAATATGTGTTGCAAATCTCAGCCTATAGCTCTTCACCGACTTTGTCTCCAAAGTCGTTATTCCAATTTGGAGGTAATCTATACAACAAACTCAGTTGATACTGCAATTTTTTGGGCCAATCATGTCAAAAAATTTCTGTCTAAATATCAGAATTATAGAAAAAAATTATTTTTATCGAGACTATGAATCTTGTCACACACCAAAAGATCAATGAATTTGATTATATAGAAATGAACTGCTGAAAAAAAGAAATATATAAGAAATACTACAACAACTACTCCATTTGCCAGAATTAACCATACATTTAAAAATAATGTAATGATAAAAAGTAATAAATGTCATATAGTGACACTTTTTAAAATTGAATTCAATTGCAGTATATAAGCACTTTTTATTAATATTCTATATAATTACAAATTATTATCTTCTTTGTTTAAGTTACATAAATCAATTATTAGCTTGATAATAAATTAATACACGATATAAAAAGAATAATTAAGAATTATGAATATATGACTATCTTTTCCAATTTAAAAATGGCAGCAAACTTATTCATCTAAATGAAATCTATATATAAATATATAAATAAAAATTTAATTACATTTTATGAAATATATTTACGTAAAAATGGCACAAATTAAATTTAGTTAGAAAAATTTAATTTAAATTAATCAACATTGTTTTCAGTTCTGTTCGGAGGTAATATACTAATAACATTTTTTTTTGGATAAATAAAAATACAATTATGTTTAATTAAATTTATTTGAATGAAAACTAAATTAATTATTTGTCATCAAATTAATAATTCGATTCAGATATTTAAATTAATATTAGTTATTATTTTTAAGTGATGTCTTTCCGCGCTTTAATTACGTGTTGGGAATATAATTCATTTAACACCAGTATCGTATAGTATCACAGTGATGTGACACGCTAGTTAAACAACTAATTTTAATAAGGTAATAAAAACAAGTGGAGTATAAGTATTTTGCTTATAGAAGAATTTAATTAAAACATTCCAGTTAAGTGTTTATATACATTTTCAACGTTTAACGTCAGCAAAGTTTTATTTTTTTATGTTACCGTAAGTTGCTTCATAGGCGACTTTGTTGTGATATGACATGCAAGCAACCACAAGCAATGCATTAGTATTCATAGTAGTTATAAAAAAATGAAAATAGGAAAAAAATATGAGTGCATATAAATTTTATTTAGAAACTTTATAGTACGAACTGCAGATACTTGTATGACTTGACCCAAAACTAGTCCTAGCAGTGCGTATAAAAAAAAATTTATATTTTAAGTTACTCAGAAATGTTTGCATATCTCTTGAGACTATTTGAAGAAATATGTATTTCGAAGTGTTTGCAGTTCTATTTAAATGATACGAAAAGTGCAATAGGAAGTATTTTAAGGTAATCGGAAGCCACATTGAATGCGTACATAACTTCGGAAATGAACAAGTTGTATGCAAATGGGAATCAGTTAAGGTAGAAAATATGAAAACACTGAATAAGCTTAAGATTTTTATTGTTGGACCCATCAGGCTTTTATGAGTTAAGGATACAGTAGGTTAAGCATTACATTTTCAACGAAATCTTCTTTATTTCTACAAAAATTCCCTTTTTGTTCGATAAACCTTAGAACTGGAAGACTAGTATGAAAACACAAGAACAATTATACTACAATAAAAATATAATACATAGTATTATATTTATAATACATAATATAACATATTTTTTTAGATTTTAGAATACATAATATAACATATTATATAGTTATGGTTGTATAACATTAAAACATACGACTGTTTTTGTTGTTCATACTAGTCTTTCAGTTCTAAAGTTAAGCGAACAGGAAAAACATTTTTATAGAATTATATACTTCAAAGCCACAAATGATTGGAAGTTATAGATCCTGAAATTAACTTCAATGAAATACTTTTATTGAAAATGTTCTCATATTTTATGTCAAAAATTAAATTGTGTTCATCATAGGCTAGAAGAAAAATATATCTGAAATATTAATATTAAGTTCTTTTTATTTGAATGGCTTAATCGGTGTCTTCCAAAATGGAACTATTCGTGCGCTAGATGTTTAGGACTTCTATCTTTAATATAGGTCTTCAGCTCAACCAGACAGACGGTGTTACAACAGTGGTCAAATGTGCTGTGATGCAAAAGAGTATCAGTCTAATATAATCTAAAATTAGTAGCACATGCAAACAAGAAGCCTTATGTTGAGTTTTGTCAGTTTTTTCATTATGTTGGCTTATACTCCTTACTTGTATTCGGTGTAAGTTTCACATATAATGCTTGTATGTTTTTTAAATAAAATCCTACTAGATATAAATCCATAAAAATTTTATTCAAACGAAATATGTAATCTTATCTAAAGTTGACAGCATTAAATATTTGTATTTAAACTAAAGTCACTGATCTGGATTGCCGAGTGTTGAAAAAGTATTGAGAATCAATAATTTATTGTTCTGCAGTATCTGCATAATTTCACTCAAAATTATTTTAAATATTAAATATAGTAATTTTCCAAAAGTTCAAATCGGTTTCATTAATCAAGAAAAACAACTAAGGCATTCCAAACACAATGGCAAAAATGAAGTCAATTACGTTGCTGAAGCAGCTTCCATTCAAAAGCACCAATTTCAGCTTTAATATCCTTACTTCAGCTGAAAGGAAATTCCAATTTATTTTGAAGAATTTTGTGTGAATTGGCATTTCGTTGAAAAATTTTGCTGCGAGCGGCAGTGACTTGAACACAGTCAGCAGTCGCAAAATCTGCCTTTGATTGTTGATGGCAGATCCATTGATTTGCAAATAAACTTCATCAAACATAAACCACCATTTCGGTTGAGGGAAGGCGTAACAGAATTGACTTTATTCAACATGTCACTGTGAAATACACAAAGCGTCAGTGGCTTTCAAAACAAGAGAAACGGAAACACAAGAGTAAAGGAAGTTTTCAACTGCAGAAAGCACTTGGAAAATGAATATATATGAGGAAACGTTACCATTTACAGAGGTGTATATTGCAGGCAATCATCATTTTTGGAAATTTTTTTGTTTTGTTTTAAAAGTAAGAATTTTGTAATATGCAAAGAAAGAAAAAACACTAGGAGCCATTATTGATGAAGTGAACTGTCAGAGGCTATAAGAATAAGTGACTAGAGATATCAAGTGTAGTACTGGTTATGAGATAAAGAAAATGCTGAACTCTATATGAAATTTATTAATGAAAATTTATTTTTAAAGATACTTTTTATATCGCGTTTTAAAGTATGATATATATGCATCATTAACAAAATTGCACCGACCAACAATTGTGATTACAGTTGAC